GCCTCTAATTATAAGACATTTTATAAAACCTTCAGAGAGCAGATCTGGTACATAATAATAAAGATACTTAACCCAAGCATTAATTGAACTTCGATCAACTTCAACACTATACTTAGTCACTTGCATTTCAGGTATATAATAGATAGAGGGATAGTGTAAAAGAAGAACATATCCTTCATCATATCTTATATATATCTTTTATCGCATGAGACTTTTGAGACATTATCAGAAAAATACTTAGCTTATGACAATCGAATTGACAAAATCTATAAAATCTTATCAACATTGTGTCTCATATCTTACTCTATTCCTGGTGGGCACAATGGAGTCATACTGATAGCTTGACTTTCTTTTCTGTCTTTGGGCTATCATTATTGTTATTTTGCTTTCTTCTCCACTGTCTTAGCTTTCTTGTTACTCTTCTCTCTTTCTTAATGGGTACAGCTCCTTTCTCTATCTGATAAATTGAATTCTAGTCTATCATCCAAGTTTCCTTCATAATCTGGCTTCTCCTTTACTTCATCTCTGGGTCTTGTAAAATACAAAATATGGCATTTTACTGCCATCACCAGGGGCTAACTTCACTGGGATCATATTGCTGAATCATAACACCAATGTTTCTGAGGACTTTTTTCTTATATCTCCAGTATCTGGTGCAATTTCACTATTTTGTTCTGGAATTGTTGTGTCTTGAGAACTACTTATTATAGAATGTCACAAGAAGAGATATTGGATATTTTTTCATTACTTTAGAAACATTCTGTCAATACCAGATATATAATAAGTAGCTGAGGATAGTAAGTTATCCAACTTCTGTCAGGACAAATAGTAACACGCCTGTTAAGACAAAATGCAAACTAATATAGGTTACTATCATTATGCAAATTAATACTCTTCTCTATTACCTGCAACCATTACTTCTATTGGGTATCCCTATAGCAAACAAAAGATAATATTAATAGTCTAGCTCCTCTAGCATGAAGTTGGCTAAGAGACTTCTTCAAAAGAGCAAATATGAAAATGTATGGAACTTCCATAACTTATCATCTTAATCTAGATTACAAATAATAAAAAAAACCAGAGAAAAAACCATTAAACCGTCTACAGAGGAATTTGCTTTATTACTTCTCCACTTCAAATAAACAAATAGTGCTACTCTGTCACGTTCTAGAGTAAGCCACCCAGTATCACAATAACGTCTAACGCACACCAATACCATATCTATTAACGAGACCATAAAGGTAGTTTGATACCAAATCATCTGAGTACAGAAGTCATAAAGAAGCATTCCACGACATAAGTATCAATATCTTACAGCAGTGGTATTGTTCTAATAAGTGTACCTACAGCTGGGGCATTGCCATAGATTTATATTCAAGCACAGTAATAATGCTATATTTCAATGGCACAGAAATGTCTCAAAAATCTAGTATGCTCCCCATGGGACAAACTTTTTATTCTCTAAAACCTTAATCAATTGATTGTTTGGATCATAATCAAGGCGCTTAAACCTTATTTACTAAAGCCTATTAGGTATGCGTATTTATACCTCTGAATCCTCAGTATATTGACTAAATAGAATTGCGTAGAAACTTTTTCAGCTTAGTTGCCAGGGATTCTTCCATTTTATGAATTAACTCAATTTACAGAACTAACTGCTCATTGACAGAAATGTAGTTATAACTCATCCTTTTACAGCTATAAAAAGCTATCAGGAACTTCAACAGTACATGCATATCTCTCAGGTAAGTACAATTGTTTCTCACACAATGCTTCAGAGTATGACTCCTGTATTTCCATCGAAGCTGTTGAGATCTTTCTACCACTTTCATTAGCAGCTTTGCATGCTAGATCTTTCATGTTAACTGACTCGAGTCCTTCAGTAGATGTTATTGTGGTTTCATCTGTCAAAGACTGTTCAATCAAAGGTTCAAATTGATCAGGTCTCTCTATTACTTCCAACACTTCCAGATCAGAAGCAACAGATATTTTTCTCTGAGCAAAATCAGTTGCAACCAAATATGGGGCTGAACTTCTAACAGTTGCTTCACGACTTTCACATTCTTGTGGGGTTCCCTGAAGAATTGTTTCTGGAGAAACCAAGACGGCCTCCTTTAGAATCTCTCTACCTGTCTCTGAAGCACTTCTCTCCAAAGCAAATGCTCGAGTTTCTACACCAGCTGTGCCCACAGCCTCAGGTATTTCATAAGGTATAACTTCAACTGCCTTGGTTGCAGTAGATAATTTTCTCTCTACTTGTTTATCCTCTTCTGGACATGAATTTTTCATCTGGATAACACTACTAAGTACAGCACCCTCAGCCAAATTTTCCTTCACTGTTAGGGATATATCTTGTGGATAAGTAAATGACTGAGTCTGTAAAAGTGGTGTGGATATTGCAGATACTACCTCTTGCTCTGCAAATGTAAATTCTTCAGTTGCAGTTGATATTTTCCTCTCAGTTTCAATTGACTTACTTGCACTTGGCATATTTTCAGATGCTTCTTGACCAACATTTTGAGCAAATGGATTGGACAACTGATCTTCAGAGGAAAAGGAATCATTTGATTGAGACTGACTCATTTGACTCTCCATCATTTCAGCATCAATAAATCCAGTTGGGAGTTTTTCTAGATTTTCTTCCCTTGGTGATGCTCTGTTACTGTCAGTCATAAGACCACTCTGAATGTCAGGTATGATAAGTTCCTCGGAGCTCAAAAATGGTCCAGCCACCTGCACCACTTCAGACCTTACTGCAACAAAATCTTTCATATTGTCAGCTGTAAGAGAAGCTTGTCTTTCTGCAGCAAAAGACTGTGGGGGACCAGACCCTGTTACAAGAGTACCAGCAATTTCTCCACTTTCAACATGTACTTCCATGGAAGCAGTTGATATTTTACGGCCTGTATGTCTTCCATCTAGACTTTCAACATCCATTAGAAGTATGTCATCAGATTTTGTTACCACACATTCACTGAACTGTTCATGTTCTGCAAGAGATGTTTGCCGTTCATGTGCAAAAGACTGAGCAGGTTGATCTGGAATCTTTAAATTACCAGCAACCTCATTCAGTGAAACACTTACTTCCATTGAGCCAACTGATACTTTCCGTTCAACATCTTGTGGGACTGCTCCTTCAGTATAAACAATTTCTGTTGATAGAGGGGTTACCATATCATCAGCAATATTTGTTGGTAAATCTTGAAATGTCACACAGGCTTCAGGTAGTTCTGTTTGGACTGTAATATTTTCTACAACCTCTTGTTCAGCTAATATCATGCTCTGTGATGCTACAGATATCTTTCTGGAAGAGGCACCTTCACTGGAAATATTTTGTGAACCCTTTGATACAGTATCAGATTGTGAAGCCTCTTGTAATAATTCAGCCATTCCAGCCTCATCAGGAGGAGTTACTACTGCTTTTCTTCTTCCTTTAGATCCTTCCACTTGGTAAATAACCTCAATCAGTGACCCACTCTCTACATCTGAAGCTTCAATCATTTGAGTCTGGATCTCTGAGGTGCCTGAATGAGATGAATCAGACAGCATTAAGGAAGCAGCAGTCTCATCATCTTTCAGTTTTTCTGTAATATTCTGAGTTGGATTTGAAATATCTTCTTTAACATTAGATTCACCTTCTAAAGTATCACTTATATCTTTTGACACTCCATCTCCACCAGTTACTGCATCACAGGACACAGCAATACCTTGCCTTTCATGTGGTAAATCAGGAGTTTTTTCAGAAGTTTTTGTCCATGTCAATTTATTGGATCATCCTCAACTAACATAATAGGTATATAATCTCTAATCTACAGTCTGTGGTTTGCTACTTTCAGACATGTTAAGAGTATACTGCATTTCAGATTTGATCTATAGGTTTCACAATCTGGTGACCATCTGTACTTTCTGCTGTCTCTGACATTTCAACTGGAGTAGGAACAAGAACAGGCTGAGACTCAAGATTTCCATCAGACATTGTGTCTGAAGAGGCTTGTTCATCTTCAAGAACAATGGGAACATTTCTACCAACCTTGGATTTGTTACCAGCAACAGGAAACTGAAACTGCATGCTTTGGATATTCATTACACTAGGCATATCCCTTGTAAAATGAGACCACATTTCAGCAGGGCTTGTAAAAGTCTGAACTGCTCCTACTGTGGTTGTTGAAGAAGTAGAAGACGTTACTGAGGATGAAAATTTTTGGACAGTTTCTCTAATATTCCCAAGATCCTGCATAATTTCAGAGCCTAGAGTCTGAATAGGAGAAGGTGATCTAATTGGGGCTTCAGAACCACTGATGTTCAAACACATAGCTTCTTCTATCTTCCCCTCATCTTCCTCCATTGGTTCCACAGTGACAGTGCCATCTTGTCCCTTTGCATCTGTATCTACAATCAATACATTGTGTCTCGAAAAGAAGTCCATCATTGATGATGATATTCCACTTGAAACATGTGTCATTGTAATTGGTGTCATATCCTTTTTTGGGGCATCCCCATCACCTGAAACATTCTTCTGGCTTAAAACAGAGAACTGGTCACTAACACCTTCAGAAGGAGCAAAAGATTGGATAGTAGAAGGTACTGAATGCTGCCCAGTAGACATAGCGACAGAGCCTAGTGAAGAGTTGTCTATCTCACATGCTGGATTTACCTGAAAGCAAAGGTTAAAGGTCTTACAACATCCAAGTGGATGCATAAGACATGAAACAAATTAAGAGCACAAGTAATCACAGAAAATTAAGCAGCAGTAGTAGTAGAGGAAGGTAGTAGTAGCAGTAGCATAAAGAACCCTCTGTCACTAACTGTCACCAAAAGTGGATATTCTGAAAACTTTGAAAGAGAAATAAAAGAAAATATAACTGAAGACTAAAGTTTATCTAACTCTGTGTAGACATTAAGATATGTCTCAGACATTAAACCTACCTTTTTATAATTCTCAGCACCTCCCTCTTGTGAGGCTACCGAGAAACTGGGACATTCAATAACTGTTGGTCTTCTTTCCTTCTTTTTTGAGTCATCTTCATCTGAAGAGCTGCTTGAGGTTGCTGACAAACTTTCAACTGTTCCTTGAGCACCAGATGTGCCCTCTTGGCTCTTTTCTGTATCGGGGACCACTACATCTGCCTCACTGCCCTCCTCTTCAACAAGCTCCATCAGTGCCTTCCCGCTGCTGACTCAGTATCTGTAGTCATAGACCACCTCTTGCAGAACTTGGTCTTGAAATTAGTGTCACCAGGACTGCTTCCTCTGCCTCTGGAAGCCGATTTTCTGTGGAACTTACATAGGTTATCCCATGTACTACTTGGGAACTCTGCACAGAAACCTTTTGTACCGACTTGTCTTTATCATCACTCATCTCTGTGGTCTTGTTTGTGGATGTCATAGATGAAGTCTCATTACTTACATCATCATGAAGAGGAGTAGTAATTTTGACTACACTTGCAGGTGTTTCAAGAGAACCAGGATCTTTTTCAAACAAACCTTTTGCCTGGGCAAATTCAACATCACCAAATGAACTCTGTACTCTAAATTCAATTGGGTCAGCTTCACACTTTACTTCATCTTTAGCTAAAGAACGTTCTTTGACTATTACTGACAAATCTGTAATGGGCTCATCTTTCTCAGTACTTGAAAGCTCATTATTTGTTTTGTCAATATCTGGTGCTAAAATCTCTTCCATCACCTCAGTTGCTGCATCATCTTTCATAACCACATCTTTAATAGGCAGCTGTTCTGTTTTGGATCTCTGAATGTTTTCAGAAACATCCATTTTTTCTGCAGGTAATTCGCTTCTCCTTTGTGGATCTTCTTCATCTTCAGTATCACTCAATTCTGCATCACTCATAACTTCTTCAAGCTCAGCAATCATAGCTTGCAGTTTTTCAACAGGAAGCTGTTCATAATCTTTCTGAGCATGACTTTCTTCTTCAGCATCAATATCTTTCTCACTTACTTCTTTTTCAGTCACAGACTGCTTATTATCAGATGTTACACCACTTGATATGCTACTGATTTTAGCACTGATGATATCAGATAAAGATTCTTTACTTTCTGGAGAAACTAGTTGCTGTGAACTACTAATATATGCATGTGTGACAGCTTCACTTGTAACTAATTGTGTCTGCTGAGAAATAAATTCTACAGTACTTACTTCCTCATTCCTAGAAGTGTCTAGAATAGTAAGGCCATGAGCTCCCATTGGTGCAAATAAATTATCTCCTTTGGAGGACACACTCTCAGTCACTGATTCAAGATCAGAGAAAGTGCCCTCAAAATCCCTACTTGTCTCAGAGGCAGGAGCCATGTCAGTGTCAACTGAGGCTAAAGACTCTAAATCATCATCATCTCGCCTCCTGATCTTAAGAAGAGAGAACCTCTCATCACCACTTAAATCCTGATCAAGCTCCTTCTCTGCACTCCTCCTCCTATTTTTTTCAACTGCTGAAAGAGTAATATCCTTTTCTGCAACTTCTTTAAGACCTGCAATGAGTTCATCAAAATTATCTAGGTCATCATCATTTTCTGTGATCTTCCTCTTTCGGTCTTTTCCAGGAGAATCCCGAGAAGAAAGGTCACTCGAAAGGAGGCTGTTTGGAGGATACTCTGCTGTGGGAGATACTTCTAGTGATGAGTCTATTGGTGATTCTTCAGAACTACCACAGGCAAGAATGCCAGCCTCCACTTTGTCAACTTTCTTCTCTGAAGATGTCCCAGCAATGTTAAAGGAGAGATGGGATATTGTCATTTTCACTTCCTCCACCTCAACAAGACTCATCTTTTTCTGTTCTGTATCATCAGATGGCTGCTCATCTAAGACATATTTAACAGTTTCTGTATCAATTCCCTCCATCTCAGATGATGACCTGTCTACTTTTTTGGTGACAGTGTTTGTTACAAGTGTCAGAGTATGATCTTCATCAGCTGTTTGATTCTCTTTAGGTTCAACTTTGATAACACTATCTACAAGAGAAGATTCTCCCCACCTGGCACTATCTGCTGATGAGAACATTTCCATTGAATCAGACACATCAACAGTTTTAAGTCCAGGAATAGGCACATCATTCTCATCAGTTTCCCTGTGAGTTTCTGAAATTTCACTCACTGGCTTCCCTTCAACAGAATGTACTAATTTTGATTCAGTAACATCCTCCATTGTTTCACTTTCATCTATGACTGGAGAGGTAAGTGTGGTACCTGTAGACATCACACTCTTTACAAGACCAATACTTCTAAGGGAAGCACCTTTCTCTTGCTCCTCATTTTTTGAGGTATTGTCTCCAGCCCAGCTTGATTGGACAGGTGTTGAGGCATCATCTTGTTGATGTACATGCACCATTAATTCATCACTCACTTGTGTTGTTCCCATGGTATGAATGAGTTGTGTAGTTGTGGAGGTTAAACTAGTAGTAACAGAGGTTTCGTGTACATCAGAAGTGCTAAAGGTGGAAAGGTTGGTGGTAGTGGTAGTGTTGGTTTGGCTGGGAGATGGTCTGGACCCTTGTGTCTCAGCTGTCAGGGTAACTGAAGTAAGGCTTGTCCCCTGTATGTCTTGAGAGCACTGCTGAAAAGACACATATGGGATCTTTCTCACCAATTTAGACACTACTCAACTCTGAACTCTGCTGGCTTGCTACTTTTAACTTCTACAAGTCAGTTTGGAATGTAATACCTTGGTGAGATCAAGCTGCTGCCGTAAGTTCTAGTCCAGCAGAAGCAGGAGGGTTAACAGACCAGACACCACATGTAATGTTGAGAGAGCCAGCAAGAAGGTGATTAGACAAGTAACAGAATGAAGTTGAGCACAAATTGTGATAAGAAATCAATATATGTACACAAAACCCTCTAACCTGGCTAGACTGCCACATATAAGCTCAAAACACCTTTACCCAAAGAAACATCCTGCTACAGGCACTAACTATCCTAGTCTAAACTCAAACAATGAAAGTGATATAATATGTACAATACATGTTTACAAATGTACAATTGGAATTTAACAAAAGCATGGATTAGTCTCATATTGGCAAGTATACTATGGGTCATATTAGAAATTAATAAACAGCCTTCTAAATAACATGAATATGTCTCTAAGAAGACATGTGAAAGACACTTTTTTAAGCAAAAATACATCTGCACTAAGAATATTAGTGCCACATCTAACATAATAAATATTAGACACTGATAAACTGTAACAGGTTGAGTATTTGTCTAGATACTATAAAACTTGAAATCACAATACCATACAAAAATAAGCCACATTATCCCCCAAAAGCAGAATATCCTTGAAGTATAAAATGCATATAAAAATTGGAGAGGAAAGCAAAGTCTGGGGATCATCAGGTCATAGAGAAATGGTGATCAGTACATGTGGAACTGAGGGAAAATATCCATGAAATATCTTGAAAGTACAATAAAGGGTTAGTAACATTAGTTCTTCACACTGCAGAATAATTAGAAGTGGAGGTGAAAAAATATAGGAAATCATCACTGAAAAAACACAGTATCTGAGAATTATTGCACACTGAAGTTGATTATCAAATTATTTTTCTTTATTTCATTATCTCACCAAAGTAGGGAATCAAACATTCAAAGGAGAGCCAAACAATGCACAAGCCTCCCAAGCACAACATGCAACATGCAAAAGTTCTGGAGCATCACATCACTGACACACAAACTAACATGAGCAGCAGCTTCTGGTATTTTGCCAAACAGATGTTTAACTGTTTGTAACATAAATAAGGCTCAATATATTCGTGCAGCAGAGAAGTTCATATAATAGCAAAACTATTTTAACATACATAAATTTCTGAATGCACCATAATGAATAAATTTTACTGACAGTAAGCATACACTATACATTCACTGATTCAAGCCATTTATATTTCATAATAATATTATAACAACATCCAATAGGAAGGAGAACATGTTACTATTTCAGATATTAAAATCTATACCGCATAAATTCAAACCCACATATCATGGTTTATCATTAGTCGTTTTTTTTTTTATGTTTCATTAAACAAGGATCTCCAACCATATACTCCTTCCCTTAATATATAACCTGAAATACAGTGACACAAGCAGCAAATCTTACCTGGACATTTTTAAAGATGTTTTCCCACCTCTGATTTATCTCAATTAGTTCTGGCTGGACACGTGCTTGGAACAGTGCCCCATGGTTAATGAGGTCCACGGCAGTGTCCCGGATATTTTCAATATGTCCTTTGTAATTCTGGACTTCAGTAGAAATGGACTGTAAAATGTTTAATTTAAATGCCAATATGAAATAATATGATAATATGAATGACAATGCCATTATAAAATCATTAGAATATCAAAAGAAATATGCATAATTATTTCTGTTACTACTTATCTCAATATTTTAATTAACTAACCTTAATAATTCGAGCCTGTTCATCAGCATCCACTTTACTTAGGTTTGTCAGCTGATATTCAGTGCTCTGTAGCCATCCTTTAATCTCTCCAAGTCCCACAATAAACTTCTCCATTTCTGCTTCCTTGTTTACTTGCTCACTCTAAAGTCATGAATCAATAAATTATTTGATATTATTGGGAATATGAGACGAGTTAATTAAAAGAAAATGCGTACCAACTAAATCATCAAATCTTAACTCTCCAGGTAATTTACTTGTTTTTCTCCCAAACAGCTCCTATAATGCAAATAATAAGAAATTAAACTTGAAATCAACAAAAGTACAAAATTCTATAAACAAAATAAAACTGTGCACTGTATTTTCACCAAGTCTATACCTGCATTATAAATATATCCTTAATCAGGATATAAACAGGCCCATTATCAATCAGAGTTGATATCTTTTTGTTTTAGTAATGCTGAAGCTATATTTAAGTGAAGCTGCAAAATCCATACCAAGCTCTGCATCAGGAAATCTTCTTGTTTTATGAATGATGTAAAAATATTATTTAGTCCTTAAACAACCTTTGTTACTGAAAATGTGTACAAATATCTGCTTCTTTTCCATCATTTGCAGCATAAAAACATTTTCTTTCAGCTGATACATAGCAGTCTTGAAGCTTGCACTTTTGTCTGTTACTATTGAATGCTATCTAAGCATTAATTTCTGAATAATGTTAAATCCTTTTCTTTCTCTTCTTACCTGATTTTACTTTTCTCTGTATGCCAATAAAAAATACACTTATTATCCACTAAAACTCAATTTCTTCAGCCTTCTTCTGTAATAAAAAAACAGCATTTTAGTCCAAGCAACAAACCTGCATGTTCTTGAGCCTGTTGGCAAGTCTAGTGTTCACTCGTTCCCATGTTAGAGCAATGTCATCAACCTGCTCTTTAATGGGCTGTAGCAAGGCATCATCATCACACATTGAGGCAAGGGCAGCATAGGACTCATGCAGCCCTGTCAGCAAGGGCCTCTTACGCCCTAAGTCGTCAATGGCATGCTGTAAAGTACAAGTATGTACACACTATAGCCATCTCCAAGAAAGTTTGACAGGGACCACAAATTTTTGGATTAAAGTGCCTGAGAGCTGCATGTTAGACTGAGACTATTTCTCTCTCTTTCTCTCTCTCAAGACTGCTTTGCTACAATATGTAATGAAACCCAATGGGAAATTCAAAAGCATATTTTAAAATAAGGCTTTGTGAATGTTCCACAAGGCTTGTTACATGTCATAGCACTCATTCTATTACTCATTATCTGTCCAGTTAGTAAATAAATATTCTTTAACCATCCATGGAAACTGTCACACAATGAACAGCAAAGGACAATAGCGCATTAGAATTGCTGAATTTTGGTGCAAATATAGTGCTTCATAATATAAATATTATGCACATAAATCAATCAAGTATTGTACAAAACCTAGGAATATATAGAACCATCCCTCAGAAAGAAAAAAAACTTGCAGACTCTATTCTAATTCTTCAACATATATATATAAACAAGTGTAAATATACATACAGAAACATTTACATGTAAAAAAAGCAAAAGAAAAAGAAAGGAAGGGAAATGAAAGAAAAGAAAAGAAAGGAAAAGAAAGGAAAATAAAGAAATATGCATAAGCATGTATATATGTATATATATATATATGTGTGTGTGTGTGTGTGTGTGTGTGTGTGTGTGTGTGTGTGTGTGTGTGTGTGTGTGTGTGTGTGTGTGTGTGTGTGTGGTGTGTGTGTGGTGTGTGTGTGT